ATCAGGTTGAAGTGTCCTACACAATTTATCGACGAATACTTTATTAACGCTAGCATTATCAAAAGTAAAAGATCGAATTTTACTCTCACAATGATATTCTCTAACAATATTGATAATAGCATTATAAATATTATTAGCATTGTGAGGAAATTCAATAATTCTAAAAGCAATAATTTTCTTATGCATACACCAAAGTGGGTCTATATAGTGTGCGGTTGCAGCTATATATACTCTTTTATTAACCCCTTCCCATATATCAGAAGTTAAGGATATAACACCCCCATATTGTTGCAAATCCATAATTAATTGTTGTTTTGGATTATTGAAATAATTTATTGTATCGGCACGAAGAGTGTTTCGACTTATCCTAACGTACCTCGGTTGTAAATATTCTTTCACGAACGAGACGAAGTGTTGGTTGTCTGCAATAGCCAGAGGCAACTCAGTGACGGCAACAAATTTCACCATTCCAGTTTGAGTCTCGTTCTCCGAATACACCCACGTGGATAGGGGTGAAGTTGTAGAACCTACGCCTGGACTGCCAAATTGTAATTGTGTTTGACCAACTGGAAGAAGTCCATGTCTGGCTGCACATGATTTGTAGTGGTGGTTGAGATGAGTGGTTCTAATTCCTTTTTGCCATGCCAATCTTTGTTGGCAGTATTTACATACTGCTTTAAATTCTGCAAGGCTATCAACGACTTTCCCGGTTGAAATCAACTTAAAGTGATCCCAACATTTTGCTTGTTTTTTGGCCTTTCGCTTTCTCCTCGCATCTGGGATATTTAATTGCTGATCTTCATCTTCATGTTCCGCTTCCTGAACGTTAATATCATCCAAATCAATTGGAATGTAGCTTCCCTGACCGTGAATGTGAACATCTTCAGGTATCGGTATGTCATTTAGACCAGCAAATTCATTTGGAAATTGACTTTGCGGCGTACTAGGCGATTCTCCATGATGTGGCAATGGCTCACATCCTGTATCGAACAAACTCTCAACAAATGAACGTTGATCCATTTCTGTGACTGTTTATGATGAAATCTTGACTAGATGAATATAAATGTAGTGAGATTGTGAGAATTGAGAATTGGATGAATTGAAATTGTAACTAATAAACTGGAAAAATTGAATTGATATTGTATATTTTGCAGCACAAGAGAGTAAAAATTCGATAATTGATATAATAAAAGAGAGTTGAGACTTGATAGAGTTGTAATCTTGGAAGAGATTGATATGAAAAAAAAAATTTGGAGGAAGGGGGTGTTTATAGTAAATAAATGGGGGGGGGAGAAAAAAAGAAAAAAAAAAGTTTCGTGACCGTTTGGTCACTGAACAAGGCTTGACGAGCCACGAGCCGGAGCCGGAGCCGGGCTCCTGGCTCGTCCAAATGAGCCGTCCACGAGCGGTTCATCTACACGGCGAGCCGAGCGGGCTCGGCTCGCCTACGAGCGAGGCCCGCTCGGCTCGTGCTCGTGCTCGGGCTCGAGCCCCTTTTTCATGAGCCGAGCTGCGAGCCGGCTTGGCCCAATTGACATCCCTAGGTTCCATGCACAACATATTGCCATAACTTCGCCTCTCACTCACAATCAAATTGTCTTTCCTTTTTCTTCACTGTTGGTGATAGAGTTTTCAAATTTTGGGCTATTTTATCTTTGGAAGATTTGTCTTTCCTTATTGGGTTCCATGCGCAACATATTGCCATAACTTCGCCTCTCATTCACAATCAGACAAGAGTTAGGAAATATAGTTAGTTCCTTTCTGTTTCCTAATCCTAGTTTAAAAAGAATTAATCCAACTACGTACCCCTATATATACCCACCTACATTCCTTCGAAAATTAACATTAGTTTGATCACAGAATTCTGGAAGTATTATATTCAATTCTAGAACCATGAGAAACTTGAAAGATGACATGGTTCTTGAAGTGATCTCGCGTATGCCCCTAAAAGAAGCGATTCGATGCAAGTCTCTAAGCGAGGATATTCATGCCTATATCCCTCATCAAGAATGCAAACACTTTGTTCAATCAATTCAAAAAATCTGTACAGTTCTTCACTGCTCGGAAAAATATCCCAAGATTTTTGGCAAAGTTCGACTCGACCCTCCCAACCTTTCGAATTAACTCGATATTTATGAAAACCTACCCATTCTGGTTCCAGTCATGGAATCTTGTAGTGGACTTCTTTTACTTCACTTTGAAATACATAATACCTATGGTGTATTCAACCCTATTACGGGAGAATTTCAACTTGTGCCCAACAACCAACATGGTGGCCCGATTGGTTTGGCTGTGGATTCAAGCACTCAATCATATAGATTAGTAGCTGTTGACGTGAAACAAAACCTTACCAATTGGGAGAAGAAAGTGTTTAAATTCATGACATTTACTTCAAGTTCGTGCATGTGGGAAGAAGCCCATGAAGAAGAACTCGTTTGTGAACTACCTACTTTTCTAACTAGAAACGCTCTACCTATTTTCTTGCGTAACTCTATGAATTGGCTTATAAACGATGGGAGCATTCTTGCTTTTGACCTGGAAAGGCGTCGTGCTAGAATCATTAAGGGACCGAATAAAACAACTGTTGATGTGAAGTTTGAGTACGATGTATGGTTTGGAGCTGTCCAAGATTCTCTTGTATTTGTACGTGCTTTTGAATCTGAAATTGTGATATATGTTTATGATTGTGTACAAAAAAAGTGGCAAATTTTGCATACAATCGAAAACATTAGTAGAGGAGAAGGAAACTATTTCACGCAGGTAGTCGCTAACAATTAAAAAGGGATCAAACGATTGTGTAAGGAACAAATCTTTTGAGACAAGATCTCAAAAGGGGGTGTTTTATTGGTGATGATTTACAATTGGAACTAAACAGAATGCCTCCAAGGGGGCGCAAGCACAGAGTACTGAAAGAAATGTTTAAGTTTAAACTAAGAAATTGAAATTACATATTCTCTGTTTGAGAGTGTTTGATTTTGGGTCCTTTCTCTCTATGTCTTCTCTTCCTTTTATATTCCCTTGATGATTTTTTCATGACAAACCGCTTGGAAACTGCTTGATTGCTTTATAACTACCCACTTTCTTTATGGTGGCTAACTTGTCGTGGAACTGC